TCCGAGCACGCAGGGCCTGGGGACGGACGTTCACGGGGCTGGCGTGGACCAGACCACGGAGCCGGGGAGACACATCGCCCTGCGAGCCTGTCCTCAACGCCCCGGCTGATGAGTGCCCTTCCCTCCCTCCGCTGCATTAACGCCCTCATCGCTGCTCAGGTACAGCCCTATAAAAGGAAATTAAATGCAAAGCCCGTCTCGTTAACACATCTCCTTCGTTCCCCCTCAGATCCCAGGTGCATTCCCATGACACTCGGCAATGAAATACAGGCTCGTTTCAAAGGCATTCCTCTGGGCTAAGCGAACGCAGCTGAGATCTAGCGTGCCCGTCTCCTCGCGGGGATCGTAAACCGGCAGACATTTTAATGCTCGTGAGGGCCGGCTCTGTAATTTTATCTCTGTTTTAATTTTAACTAATCCTGAGTAGTGCTGAGAACCTGCCTTCCTCTGATGGAGAGGAGCCTGGTCCCCCTGGGCAAGCTCGGTGTTGAGTTCTTCCGTCTTTAATAGACAAGTGGAAGTTTTTGCTAGAAAAAGGTTTTTCTGATGGCGAAATTAATGGCAGCCCCAGCGTCCTCGTTGACACGTCCTTGTGCCAGATGCTCTTGTGCCAAGGGACCTGGAGAGGGATGGCTGGACAGCCTGTGGCTGCTTCAGGCCGGGCTCCGGGAACTGCGGCAGAGCAGCGCGGGGACACCAAGGTGATGCCACCCCCCGCTCCCACACAGCAGTCGGGGCGTCCCCCGACAGCCCCGGCACGGCGTGGGCTGGTCGTGGTCAGACTGAGCATCCCCAGCCCCGCCTGGTCCTGCATCCTTACCCGGAGCCGGTGCACGAGCGCGGCTCCTCCTGCCCCGGAGCACTAAAGCTGGAGCCTTCAAGGCACCAAACATCCCTTCTCCTGCCTGTCCACCCTACAGACGCCGTGGCAAATGCTATGCCAGCTCTGTGGGGAAGACAGCAGCCTTTGGAGGAAACTTCTGGCCTCTAAACCTGCTCCACGCCAGAGCAGGGAGCAAATCCCAGAAGTGCCCTGCCAGGGCACATGGATGGGAGCACGGCTGGTACTTAACGTAGCCCTTGAGCCGAATGGAAATAAAGAAAAATCTCCCAGGCACAGATTTCCCAGGATTTGGGCAACTCCTCGTCTCTTCTGGGAGCTCAAGCCAAAAGTGAAAGCAGGGTGGTTCCTGCCAGCACAACTCCTCGCCGCTGGACCTGGCTAAGGAGGAGCCCAGTGCCTGGGCTTGCTCTAGCCCAGCCCGGGGGTCCTGGGCCACCTTGGCCAGTTTAACCAGCAGTGAGCACATGGACCCACTTCTCGCTGCCTTTAAAGGACTGATCCAGGGTGGCAAGACAGCTCAGCCAGTCGGGATTGCGCTTTCTTGCCAGTCTGCAGAGGGATCTCAGCTTTTTGAAGCAGATGCTGCTTTAAATGCATTTTCTGAGCAGATCTGAAAAGGGAAGGGAGCTCTCCCCAAGCTCCTTTAATACCCTGGTGCTTTAGTACTGTGCAATGAGACGTATTTATAAATAAAAGAAAATGAAACATCCACCCGACAAAGCAGACTCCAAGCAAGAGCAACAGTCCCCAAAGGGAAGATTTATCCAAGGTCTTTGAGGATAGACAATTAAGTGAGGGCAACGCGAGAAAGACAATAAATTCAGGGAGACAAATGAAGGGCAAGGAATATCACCCCTTACAACTCCACCAGTCTTTCCCCCGCCAGCAGTTTCGGCTTCCAGCCTCATTTTCTCCTCCAGCAGGAAAAGAAACCATTTTAATGTGCTCAAGACTGTGCTGAAAAACCGTGAGCTTGGGGGACTTCAAACATTATTTTTCTTGCCTGAGGGCTCAATCCCTCTTCCCCCCGATGATGTCTCCTGGTTAACAAGGGCATAGCCACATCCAGCTATTCCAGCGCCCTTTGATATTTAATAGGCTGAGTTCCAGTGGAGACCAGTATGCCGGCGCTCGCAGCAGCCATTAGCTGCTTTACATTATAAAATTACAGTCCCATTGCAAGCGCTGGGTTAATTCACTTACGGGAGAGAGACGCAGCCTTTCTAGCTCCGGCATCGCTTCCCCGGTGGCTGTTCCCTCTTTTTGGTCTTTGCTTAGCAAATCCTCCTCCTATTACTTCCCTGCCCAACTGGGAGTTGCTAATTGGTACCCGAATACCGCTGGAGGTTGGCACAAAGCAGATTATTATCTATTCAGCTGAAGGATGCTTTGCCTCAAGGCAAGCACCGGAGCCGCTTGGGATGAATATTAACCAGCAATGATAAGCACACTGAGAGTACCACGCTCACAGGACGTGAGGGATTTTACACGGAGGCTTTTTCATTTAGCAGAAACGCCTTTAAGCTTACTAAGGGTCTTTAATTCCTCTGTTTATCATGGGAACGCAATTCCTGCCAAGCACTCAGCTTAAATAAACAGGTCTACAAGTCAATGACCGGACGCAGAGCCGCACGTCAGCCCACACACGCAACCAGCAGCAGACACGCGTGCGCCGAGAGCAACGGCCCCGAGTCTGGGCGCAATGGGGAGGGGACTCAAAAACTCCACACCTCCCCAAGGCGAAAATGCCTTTAGCTGGGCTTTAACAAAGTGCATAGCTCGCCAGCACGGACTTCATCAGCACAGGGCTGAAGCTCTTAAAAACCATCCACCAAAGAAACCCAACTCCCGCCAGGTTGATTCCGCCTCTCTTGCGAAGCCAGGAGTGGGCAGAGCCGTGCCGAGCAGCCCCCATCTTTTGGGAGCACGCACGGAGCACCCTGCATCCCCCAAACCAGGAGAACCTAGCTGCAAACTGCAAAACTCACAGGGCTGCAAAAATGCCATGCCCAGAAGAGGGTGAAGGAGGCTCGGGGAGGGATACGGGCTTGCTCTGCTCGGGGGCCCAGCATCCCGGCTGTCTCTGGCAGCTTTTTGGTTTCTCAAGGTGAGAACAAGGAACCACACGCGTCGCTTCTGGCTGTCCCAAAGGGGAAGGTGTCCCCAGCAGCACCCAGCCACGGCTAAGGGGCAGCAATCCTGCTTCCTGCCTCATCAGGTTTTAAACAACCGGGGCTGCTCCAAATAATTGAAATCTAGACACGGATTTAGAAAACTGGCAGTTTTTCCTTTGGTTAGAAAAGATCTTAGCAAGCTTTGCAAGAAAACAAGAATTTAGATGTGGCACATACTTAAATTAAATCCCCCTGGGAGCTGGTCATCACCTTTGGCCAGCGGCTGCACATATATCTGCAGATCTGGCCTGAAATTCAGGGCTGTTGAGCAGCAAAACCCAATGGCAGGAGGGTCAGCAGTGCTCATGGCAGGGACGCCGGCCGCAGCAGAGGGTCCCTGACTGCCCGGCCATCACTTGGGCCACCTTGCAGTAATTTGCTATGATTTATTTTGTCTCAAAAAGGCCACTTTCATCCCTTTCCCACTCCCTCTGGCCTTTTGAAATGTGAGACCAGGGTGCAGAGCAGTTTTGGGGTTTTTTTTCACACTATGGCTTCCCTGAGACGTAAAGGCGAAGGCACCTGGAGCCCGTTGTCCTCGCCGGGCTGCACCCACGATGAGGCGGGGACCGGTGGTCTTACATCAGGCTACAGCATCACACCGGCTCCCGGCCCCAGCTGGGGGTCAGCACGGCTTTAAGTAGGGTCTGGCACCCACTCAGCACTTCTCGTCACAGGGTCTGCACTGCCTCGTGTTACAAATACGCTGCTTCTGCCTGCAGGGAGACCACGGCTGGGCACGGGCACCCGGGTCCCTGCACTCAACTGGGACTTCAGGAAGACCGGCCAGGAGGAGAAATGGCACGTAAGGAAGCTGCACAAGGCTGGCCCCAATAGCTGGCAGAAAACAAGAATAAAAGGGGTTTCCACGTTGCAGCCCTTAGTGGTGGGTGCAAGAGGACCCGGCGGGCTCTTAACGCCCAGCGCCGGGGCCGACACAAGGCAGGGGTTAATGAGGCAGTGCCTGAGAAAAGCCAGAAGCCCCAATCCTGCTTAGGAGACAACGGGGACTCTCGGGAGCTGGGCTGGGCTCCCATGAAGTGTCCCCAAAGTCCACGGCTTGGGAATGTCCTCCGGAGCTTTCTGCTCCTGCGCATGGGCTGCAGGAAACGTTAGCATGGCGCTGGCCCTTCTCCCCCTGCTCTCCCTTTCTCCCAGCCCAACGAGACCCTAAAGCACTGAAAATAGGATTATTGTCCTCTTGTCTCAGCAGCTTTGCCAGTGACTGAAAGGATGCTCAGGTGGTGGCTGGATGGTTCTGAGTACATCAAACAAGGCATGCAGTGCAACGAGCGGGCAAGCCTCGCTGCCCCGGCATCCTTACTCAATATTTTATTCCCGGCACTGTAGGATGTCTACAGATCTGAAGGGATTATGGATCCCATCTTTTCTGCAGTGCTTTAGGAGAGGGCTAGGAGAAAGCCCGGCAGGCTGGAGGCCCTGGGGCCACCCAACGGCTTCAGGGAACGGCTGCAAAGTTTCGCCCGGGCGGCGAGGACAAGGCTGGGCTCTTTGCTCAGTCAGCCGTCGGCCGATGGCTGCGGGGCTGCCGCTGGTCTTGCTCGTGCAGTTTTGACACCTCGGTAACCCAAGCACGTTCAGGAGGGTGTCTGCTGATTTACGCGCCCTCCCGGGTTACTGTGGGAGGATAAATCAGATTTTTAAGCCCTCGTTTTAAACCTTTCACTAGCCTGCCCTGGACCAGACCCCGCTAAATGAGATCAGTTGCTTTAGGGCTCCGTTCCTCGGCTCCCTGCAACGTCCTACCAGCCCCAGCGAGGCTGGGAATCGCCCCCTCCTCCGCCCACCGGACTTGGCAGCGTCTGGGGTTCGTTAAAACAAATCGCTTGCACGTGGAGCGTGAGGAGGGGGCAGCTGCTGTGCCTTTCCCCCGCAGGAGCAAGCTGGGGAGATGCATGGAGGATGCAGGAGCGAGGGATGTGCGGAGGTGTCGGCGGGGAGGTGGCGATACATACCCCGGCTCAGTGGGATGCGGACATGGACCAAGCCCCTTCCATCCTCCAGACGGAGAAGGCATAGCTGAGCCTCTCGTGGGCCAGGTAGTTGCAGCTGGTGATCTTGTGGTCCAGCTCATCGCTCTGCAGGACCTGGTACAAGAAGTCTATGTAGCGGGCGGCCAGCTTGAGGGTTTGGATCTTGCTCAGCTTGTCGGAGGGCAGCGTCGGGATGATCTTCCGCAGCTCCGCAAAGGCGTCGTTGAGCGACTGGGTCCGCTGGCGTTCCCGCACGTTGGCAATCACACGCTGCGTGTGCACGTCCTCGAAGGACTGCGGGACGGGGCTGCGCTTGCTCCGCTTGCCCTGCGGCGACGGGGCACCGCAGTCCTCCGCCGGCTTGCCCCCCTGGCCACGCCTGCGGAGGGACTTC